TCAACCACGCCAGGTTTCATTTCATCTTCACTTAACTTTACAAGATCGATCATAGTAGATTTTAAACTGATGACCAGGGACGATCTGACTCATATATACGTATTGAATAGTTTGCTTTCTTTCCCATACAGGGACAGCCGATTCTACAGGAGTTGCTTGTTGATCAATCCTAATGGCAGCAGAGATGGTCAGTTCTCCAGTCTGGGCCACTGCAGAACTGACTATCTGTACTGCATTAGGATTGATCAAAGCAACTTGTAGAATCGACTGTCCTTCATGCTCAATAGGAAACAAAAGCAAAATACTATAAATACATATAGGAGTCAGAATGTCCCTGTTCATCAGTTTTGCAAGTGCAGAGGAAATCAGAACGTGGTGAGGTTGAACTAGCTGTAGGATTGATAGCTTCTTAATGTAACGATATGTAATCCTCCTGTTTATTTGAGAAAAAAGGTTGCAGGGCTGTGACCAACACCAACAAGAGTGGTACAATATTTGAGAGCGACATCGTGGAAATTTGTCATGAGTGATATGCACACAGGAAGACTTTGAAGACTTTGGAGTAGAGGGCAACAAGCACTGAGGTCGACATATGCATGTATCACATCTCGGAGACCGCCAGAATTAATTGATACATAGACACCTCTAAGAACGCGTCGGACATGGGCCAGAATTATTCATCCGTAAGACCAACTGGAGTCAAAGTCGACGGTGACTAAACGTAGAAATCTTGGCTGGAAAGCTCGGAGCAAAAAGCAGAACCCGAGGCTGACGGCAAGCCCGCAGCTGTGCGTACCAGTGTTATGGGTAGGTTACCACGACAAGCAGGGCCGGGGCCACAATTTGGGGTCTTTAAGCCGACAAACTAGAACATTGGATAGGCAATACTAAAAAGAATAAAATAATTGGGGCAAATGTTAGGACACTAATCCGACCCTAAATTGTATAAATTGCTATTGCTATGAGAGATTAACTAATCCATCAGTTTGTACTCTCGGATAGGTTGGAATCTTAGAAAACATAAGCATAAGAAAACAAAAACCAAACAAAAGGCTAGTGAGGGGGTAGCCAAAAAGGAAAACAACCCCACAAAGACAAAGAGAAGAAGAAGAAACATAAGAGGAGGAAAATATTAAATTTTGTTTAATAACGCTAACTATTAAAAATTATTTATGCTGAATTGTGTTTTTTCTCTTTATTTATTTTCTAATACAATAGACATAATAAATAATTCATAGTATATTGTTTTCACAACAGACTAGCTTCAAAAATGGTGTAGCTATGTAACTTGTATTCAAATTTACTTAGGTTATTTTCATAATAACATACGTAATTTAAATGAATATTTGGGGCTACTTTAGACTATTTTTTACAATAGCAGATGTGGGGATTTTAGATAAATATCTAGGGGTTACTTTCAGGAGGTGAGTAATATTGGGATTGTGGGTTACTTTAGGCAAATCTTTTATAATAATGACAAGGGTTGGTAATTTGTATGTAGATTTTTGGTGTTACTTTATGCTATTTCCACAATGGAAGATGTGGGTAAGTTTGAAAAAAATATAATATAACAGTCATAGGCAATAATGATTAGAATGTCCCAAATTATAATTAATGGCTCGATGTTTCAGACTTCTTTTGAAAACTTCTAGATTATCTCACTACTACATAAATGATTTTGTGAGACACTACCCAAACATTAACGCAGACAGTCACAAAATGCATCCATCTCCTAAAATACGTGAGGATTTTCGGAGGCAGTCATTTTATTTACGGAGGCGTTTACAATTGCTTGTCCCACAAAATGGATTTAAGGAGGCATATATTTTATTTACGTAGGTGGTTGAAAATTTCCTGCCTCCTAAAACAGATTTACGCTTGTGGTCGAAAATTGCCCGGCTTTGTTAATAAGGCCGAGCCCTTTTGTATTTGCTTGGTGAATATTGGCCCAATATCGTGCTCGGAGTATATATAGGGACACTTACGGTTTTCGTCTCATTCTCACCCCTCTCCTTCCATTCCTCTGTGGTGCCCTCTCTCTCTCTCTCTAACTCACTCTCATGCGACGGCCCATCCCCTGATGGCGATGCTCTATTAGAGGACGTGGGGCACCACAACCACCTAAGGTGATAGTGTGTGGGGCGTTAGCTCACGGGCCGACAGCGGCGCAGGCGATGCAGACTCCACCACAGCGGCAGCCCCGACGAGCGGCGGCGCACGACGACCCCGGCCTGCAGATACAGTGGAGGGTGGCCCGGACATGCAGATCTGGTCGAGGGCGGCCCCAACACGATGGATCTGGTGGAGGGTGGCCCGAGCCGGCGGATCTAGTGGAGGGCGCCACGCGTGATGGATCTGGTGGACGGTGGCCTCGACGCGTGGATCCGGTGGAGGGCAACACCCACCGATGGATCTGGCTCCTTCCTCCACCAATGGCGGATCTAGTGCCCCATCCTCCACCATCGGTGGATCAGGCACCCCTTCCTCACCGCTAGCGGTGGATCCGGTGCGGTGGTGCGGTGGATTGGGATTAGGGATGGGAACGGGCTCGCCGGTGGTCTTGTTGGTTTTTGTGTTTTTTAATCCATTAATAGAGGCGGGCATTATAAGGAACCTACCTTTGTAGTTTCATTTTTGCAGGCGTGCAAGGAGGCCGCCTACGTTGTTCTTGATTAACCCAGACGTTTATTTCCAGACGGAGGGAATGCCTAGCTACGGAAACGAAAATGACCAAGTGCCTGTAGTAGTGTCTTCAGTTTTAGGTATGTGTCGTAGCCACGTTGGGGCCATCCTTGGCTCTGTACACCCCCTCCCTACTCTGCATGGATTTCCAAAGGACGACCTTGTGATCCAGTGCATGGCTGCATGCATACTCTCTTGTCCCATCCAGACTAGCCTCTCTATTCATTAGCCTTATGCTGTTGTTACTCATCTTTAGAATTTTAACTGACTAGATGTTTGACTGCATGCTTAAAATGAGAGGAATAGTTAGCTAGGGAGATCTAGGCCTCGTTTGGTAGGGCTCCACTTCACTAGTGAAGCTGTTTTTCTTATTTTAGATCCACAAACAGCTCTCTCAGTGGAGATAGAGCCGTTTTGGTACCCCATGGCAAAACGGCTCCTTATGCCAGACAAAAGAGATAAAAGGCCAAAATGCCCTGCATTTCATGCGCTTGGTCCTTCCCCAATCCCCATTCCCTTCCTGCGAGCCCTCCCTGCCCAATGGCCGGCTCCCCGAACTCGCTCGTGCTCCCCTGGCGGCCATACGCGCAATCCCAGCGGCCCGGCGGATGTGCCCTCCCTACTCTTGCGTCTGGTGGCAGGGCTCCGGTGGCTGTGCCTTGGTGGCCACGCACCATCTCCACCTCTCCATGTGCGCCCTCTCCGCCGGTGGCCGTGCGCCTCAGTGTCAGTGCCTATTGGCCACGAGCCCTCTCCACCTCCCCCTACGCGCCCTCTCCGCCAGTGGCCAAGCGCCTCTCTCGACGCGGCTGAGCGCCCGTGAGCCTCGACACGTTTTTAGAGGCAAGGTGCAGCCGGGTGAAGCCACTATTTTTGGCTTTACCCCTCATCTATCCTTTGTCTAGCATGTGTTTAGGGGCTTCACAAAAGGAGCCATTTCATTTTACCCCGTTTGGCAGAAAATGGCTCCAAATAGCTTCTGAACCTAGTGGATAAGCCCTCCAAATGGGGAGCTAATGTGGACCTTTATTTGAGGAATAGCTGACCTAGACCTTCACTCGCCTCCCGTTACCTATTAGCTCCGACTCCACCATGGGTCGTGAGATTTATAATGGCAAGGCGCGATGTTGTGCGGAAGCCACCGTGACCGTCAGAGATGGGAAGGAGGGATAGAGGAAGCAACCACGATGCTCTGCCTTGTGGGAGAGGGAGATGCAAAAGAGAAGACTAAAGAGGATGGAGGCTTTCCAGACATGCGCGATATTTCGAGATGGGTCTCGCTCCTACGTGAGCGCGCGTGCGACCCCGCCCACCACTGCCTCCAACCATCGCCCGGGCCCACCGCTGACATGCTGCCGTGTTGCACTACCCATCTTGCGCCCCATTGGTTGACACCGCCCTCTGCTAATCCCTCGCATCCATCAACCGGCCGCTGACAACTCGCCCCCACCCCTGCTCTACACAAACCACTGCCTCCACCACCACGGCCGGCTACATTCTCGCTACCCCGCCCACCCACCGCCAGACCAACTTATCACCGAAGGTCCAGAACCAGGGGAGACGACTAGACCCTAACCCGTCTCTGGCGGAGGCGGCGACACTGGCGCCGGCACGGCGGTCGTGCAGTGTTTCAACCACGTGACCATCGCGCCGTGTTGCAACCATGTCACGTGTTAGATCGAGTTTGCGTTTCCAGACTGAAGAGTATTGACATGCGCGAGGAGCGGTTGACATGGTCGCTCTCGTGTAGACACACACACCGACGGACGTCGACTGTTTCTGTTACCCATGTGCGGGCCGAGGAAGTGGATCAGGCTTTTATGCATCTGACCCCAGCTAGCAGCAATCTAGTTGCTGTAGGCCCATTTACCCATTTGCACACATATCTTATATTTTCCCAGGTGACCATCAACTGGTAGCTGAATTAAAAGAAAACTTTTTACTAATAATTAAAAATCTTTCTAGTAGCATATTATAAATAAACTTTGTGCTCTCAACTTCAGAAGTTTGCACATCCTTCGCCCATGTTTCAATCAGACGATCAGCATATGCTCTCATGAAACCCTCGAATGCTCAGCGATGCAGGTACGCTCACATTAGTTACATGTGTGGATGGTCCCACGAGAAACATTTTTTTTCACAAGATCCGTTACCGGCTTTGATTGAAATAAGAGAAGAGCAAATTATATTCCCTATGTGGCCAAAGTTGCGCCGCACCTATTTTGGTTGGGACTCAGGTACAGAGTCCCTCGTCACCCCTGAAGCCACAAGACGTTGATTTACATGAAGAAAAAAACACAACTAGCTAGTTCTACTGACTAGGCCGCGGCCGAAGCCGGCAGCAGCATGTCTATATCCCTATTCCCAGCGAATCTCCAAGTCCGCGCTTCATCTTGAATGCTGTACATAATTTGCCAGACAGTCCTAGTTTCCTTCCTGAAGACGAGGTTGTTCCTCTCGCGCCAGATTTCCCATATCGTTAGAGTGACCATCGACTGCAACCCCGGTCTCAATATTGATGGATCAGCAGCAGCTACCATATCAGTGAACCAGTCGCCCATAGTGGAACTGTTGTTCCAGTTTGCTGGTATCAAGGAAGCTACCTGAATCCAGTTCGCCACCTCTTCCCAGACTTTCCTTGTTAAATGATACTCTCAGAACAGGTGCCGAGTAGTCTCAAGGTTTCTGATACATAGCTGGCAAAAAAACTCATTTGGCCATCCTCGGCGTTGCAAGCGCGCTGCAGTCCAGATTCTGTCCTGCAACATGAGCCATATGAAGAATTTGCATCTCGGTGGCGCCTTTGTCTTCCACGTCTGAACTTCTGCCACACATTTAGTCTTTCCCTCAAACTGCACAGAGTATGCAGACTTGGCTGTATATTTGCCATCGGCTGTGAGAATCCAGGAGATGGTGTCTTCCAGTGACTCTATTAGGACGATATTTTCCAGCTCCTCCCATAGCCTGATGTACTCCACAATAAGCTGCTGATTCAAATTGTGATCAATATTCGCAATCCATCGGTTGTTTGTAGTCGCATACACCACCGTCCTGTTTTCCCTTTGCTATGCTTATGCAGCCCTGGAAAGCGCACGGCCAGTGCCTCGCCATGCAGCCAGCCCGAGGTCCAGAAGGCTGCCATGCGACCATTCCCCGACCTTACAACAGTGGCTGCACTAAAAAAACGCTCTGTTATCATTGGAGATCCGTAACTGCAAGCCCTTCCATGGCTTTTGTCCGCTATCCCATTGGAACCACAGCCATCTCAGCCTTAGAGACCTACTGAAATACTCCAGATCCTTGATGCCTAGGCCACCATTGGGTTGGGGCATGCAGTCCCTTGGCCAAGCCACCTTACATTTTCCACCAGTGAGTTCTCCATCTCCTGCCCATAGGAATCTTTTCCTCAGCTTATATATCTCTTTTAAGAATTTATTTGGGGCCTTGACTACTGTCAGCAGGTAGACAGGCAGTGAACTGAGGACTGACCTTACCAATTCTCACCGTCCTTCCACGCTGACAAGCCGTCCTTGCCACCCTTCTAGTTTTCCTTTTGCTCTGTCCTGTATGTATTGCAAGTGCACTGTCCTCATTCTTCCGAGTGTTAGCGGCAGTCCTAGGTATTCAATTGGGAATGAAACTCTCCTCCCTGTGAAATAGCAGAGGACTTCCTCCATGTCGATACCTGCGCATCTGATAGTGGCAACTGAGCTTTTGGCCATATTTATCCTCAGTCCAGTGGCATCCCCAAAGGCCTTCATGATTTCCATGATGCAATTGATGGCTGTTTTGACAGGGTTGGTGAGTCTCACAGCATTGTCAGCATATAGAGATAGTCGGAGGCTTGCTTGCCGGACCTTTAGTGGCGTCAAGTGTCCTTCCTCAGTCGCAATGTCGAAGATCCTGCTCAGTATGTCCATTGATAGTTTAAAGAGGTAGGGTGATAGCAGGCCATGCATCGGATATGATAGTGGGGAACGAGCGTGAAAGGACCGAGGAATGTCATGATACACTACGTCTAGGTATATAATAAAAGCAACATATCTAAAAATGTCAAAATATCTTATAATTTGGAATAGAGAGAGTATTACATTTTATAGGCGTACCCAAGATAATCTTATATTTGCAACACACACAAACAGTTGAACTTTTTTATGTACATCAAGGTACTACAAGAAAGTGGAAATCCTTCAGGGGTTTAACGTGCTGGACATCTTGAGCTTCCTTGCCAAATAACTGTGATCTTGCAAACATAACATCATTGTGATTGGACAATCATGGACGCAGGCATTAGTTTTTAATATTAACGGTAGTGTGGATCGCTTTTGCTTCTGAACCCAATAGTCGACGATTGAGCCCAGCAACTGGGCAGGCGTGTGCACAACCCACGAGCTCATGAACTCAATGTTAGCACCTATCCATCCCTGAACTGGAGCCTTCTTGTCCAGCCGTTGCTTACGGCATTTTCTAGCTTTGTCCTTCCTAGTAGTTGCTCTCCATGAGGTCTTCTCCACCCGAAGGTACGCACTTCCATGCTTGGACTTCCACAACATCTGATATGAGGTAGCCTCCACATTCCTACTAAGGCAATCTACTGCTTTTGGCATCGTGATCTCGCCCAGCTGTTCAAAGGAAATGTTTGCATACATGACAGATTGTTTGGCTTCATCGTTGATTATCTCTGACACTGAACTGAACCTCTGACAGTAGGTGACAAATCTTCAAAAGAGGCATGAGGCCAGAAGTGTGCTCCAAGTTTCAGACATGGAAAGTCTCTCGTGGGCCTTGTTTGGCTTTCGCCATCGATCACTGCGCTCTGCCTATTGTTCCCAACTGACAGTGCAACATGTCCTAGCAAATACACTTGGAAAACTGGTTCCAAGTATACATCACATGGCAATGATTTTGAAGAGGAGCTCTGTGCATGGGGATGCACTACCGGAGACTGTGTAGTTACCGAGTGCCCCGATAATTACCGAGTGTCAAAAGTCGGGGCACTCGGAAAACAGTACTTACCGAGTGCCAACACTTGGAAAACATAAACACCCGGTAGTCGACCGCTTTACCGAGTCAGCACACTCGGTAACTTCAGACACTCGGTAAAACTACAAGTTTACCGAAGGGGTGCACTCGGTAAAAACAGCCACTCGGTACTGAGGTGCCACGTCACCTAGGATAGCAACCGTGCGCCCAACGGCATCACGGCATGACATGTTTACCGAGTGTTATGAGCATACACTCGGCAAACATCACGGTTACAACAGCTCCGCCCATCAAGCGCTGGGAAAATGTTTACCGAGTGTCAGTGCACAACACTCGGTAAACACTATATTTTACCGAGTGTATTGGCGCAACACTCGGTAAAATTCAACCAAATTTCTTGTTTTTCCCTTCATTCTTTTTCCTCTATCCACATATGATATTTAGTACTCCATTCCAAAATATGGTGTTTATTTCGATTTATTTACTATATTTCACAAAATTTTCATTCTTTATGAAAATTAGGTACATATCGTGTAAATTTAATTGTAATAATTAAAATCGAACTCGATAAATCACGAGATTGGAAGAATTAACATTGAAGCATACATCTATGTTATAGAAAAAAATTTCATAACGTTTTTGGAAGTATTTTTACATTAAATCATTTGCCGAACCGGTACATCTCCCAAAGAGACGCTAAACATTCACAATGACGAGTAGGATTTCTATTAAGAGTGAAATTCAACATTATGATTTGAACTTGGAATTTTTAGATAGTAAATAGATGACATGAAATAGTTCATGTGAAAGTTTGGTGAATTTTAGGATTAAATTGGCATTTTTTTCTTTTTTGTTTTGCATGAAATAATGGATACTTTTACCGAGTGTGACCTAAAACACTCGGTAAAGGTTAGCCACGGCCCACCTGCTCTGCCACAAAGGGGCTGCCATGCTATGTTTACCGAGTGTGTCAGAGATCTGGGCACTTTCGGTAAACATGTACTGCACCCCACATGTCATTGGGCTGCGGTGCTTGAGTTTACCGAGTGCCGTACATCTATGCACTCGGAAATGTAAGCATTCAACACTTAGCCGTTTCTCCCTCAGATCGTGCACAGACACACACACACCCCGCACACGCCTCCCCACCGCCATGGCGCCTCCTCCCTCCACCACCGCCGCCACACCAGGCGGTCCCCCACCACGCCGCCACCGGAGAGACGGAGAGAGAGAGCGGCACCGGTGCATCGGACGACGATCCCCTCCGCCACGCCGCCCGCCTCCCTCCCTCCTTCCGCCTCCTCCCACGAGGTGGGGTGGGGTGGGCCCAGCCCAGGCCAAGCGACGGCGACGGCGGCGGCGGCGACGGACGGCGACATGCCCGTGTCCCTGTGAGGAAGAAGTGTAAGAACAAGGCAATGAAAACATATGAGGAGATGACTAAAGATCTTGTCAACAATGGATTTGTAGAGAACTATACCCGGTGGACCATGCATGGTGAACGCCATCGTGCGAGAGAAGAGGTCATGAGACAACGGATCGAGGAGTTTGATTACAAGCGGGGTGGCGAAATGTTAAATGACCATGACATGGCTTTCGATGAAGGAAGTGCGAGCGAGCCGAGCAAACTGCAAAGGCGTTTTTACGCCATGTTGGATGCGGCACAACAACCCCTTCACGGCGCACCAATGTTTCTAAACTGGATGCCATTGCACGTCTAATGGCTATGAAGTCCCGCTTAGCCGAGTAGAGAATCCTTCGATCAATCTGTTGATGATGGTTGGCACCCTACTTCCGGATGATCACGTTCTGCCAAAGAACACGTATGAGTCAAATAAAATCCTTCGTGTGCTCAAGATGTCGTACGTGCAGATACATGCTTGTCCGAATGGATGCATCTTATTCAGGGGAGAACATGCTGACGATAAGTACTATCCGAAGTGTAAGGCATCTAGGTACATTGAGTTAGAATCTGGTGATGGTCGGAAGACGCAAACAAAAGTCAGCGCAAAGATCCTGAGGTACCTTCCTTTCATACCGAGGATCCAACGGCTTTTCATGAGCGAGGAATCCACAAAACAGATGACGTGGCACAAAACTGGACGCCGATACACTGACAAGATGATACATCCGTCCGATGGTGAATCATGGAAAAGCTTCGATCGGAAGCATACCGACAAAGCTGACGAGGCTCGTAATGTACGCATTGCACTGGCAATTGATGGGTTCAATCCTTATGGAATGGGTTCTTCACCATACACATGTTGGCCCGTATTCGTCATCCCTCTCAACCTCCCACCTGGCGTCGCCTTTCAACGGCAAAATATTTTCTTGTCACTTATAATTCCAGGACACCCGGGGGCTAATATGAGTGTGTACATGGAGCCTTTGATAGACGATTTGGTCCGTGCATGGGACGAAGGGGTAGTGACATACGACCGATTCACAAAGACAAACTTCAGAATGCATATTTGGTACCATTATTCCATGCATGACTTCCTGGCTTATGGGTTATTTTGTGCCTGGTGTGTTCACACGAAGATGCCATGCCTGATATGCAAGTCAGCTGTGGAGTTATTTCGGTTGGAGAAGGGGGGCAAGTTTTCTTCGTTTGACAAACATCGACAATTCCTCCCTCTTGACCACCCATTCAGGAGAGACAAGAAGAACTTTTGAAAAGGTGTCACAGTGGAAGACTCTGCACCAGAAATGATGATAGGTGCCTAGGTTCTTGAGATGTTAGATGGTCTTGTGGTTGACAATGAAAAGGGGGGCTTCGTGGGATACGGAAAAGAGCATGCCTGGACACATAAGTCGTGCTTGTGGAAGCTTCCTTACTTTAAGGACCTCTTCTTCCACATAACATTGATGTAATGCACACTGAAAAGAATTTCGCCGAGGCGGTCCTTCACACAATCATGGACTGGGAAAAGTCAAAGGACAATGTCAAGGCTAGATTGGATCAAGCAACGCTGTGCGGTAGACCAAAGCTAAACATGTTGCCTCCCTTACGCGGGAAGTCATGGAAGAAGCCTAAGGCCGACTTCGTCCTAACGAGGGCCCAAAAGAAAGAAGTTCCTCAATGGTTCCAATCGTTGATCTGCAAGTGACGGGTATGCAGCGAATTGGAGGAGGGGTGTGAACTTAAGTACCATGTGAATCACAGGGCTCAAGAGTCATGATTACCACATATGGATTGAGCGCCTTCTTCCGGTGATGGTTCGTGGCTATTTCCCTGATCACATCTGGCGAGTGATGGCAGAGTTGAGCATGTTCTTCCGCAAGCTATGTGCTAAGGAGATATCTCGGACCGAGATTGAAGAAATGGAAAGAATGGCCCCGGTGTTGCTCTGCAAGTTGGAGAAGATCTTTCCCCCCGGCTTCTTCAATCCGATGCAACATTTGCTCTTGCACCTACCATATGAGGCAAAAATGGGGGGCCCTGTGCATGCCCGTTGGTGCTATCCAATTGAGCGATGCCTAAAGGTTCTTAGAACAAAATGCAAAAATAAATGCAAAATTGAAGCTTCCTGTGCAGAGGCATCCATTGTGGAGGAGGTGTCATACTTCACAACAAGATACTATGCCGACAACCTTCCTAACGTGCATAATCCACCCCCTCGTTACAATGCTGTCGATAATCAGTCGACCCTCAGCCTTTTTCGAGGGCAACTCGGAAGTGCAAGTGAACCTACCTTGAAGATGTTGAGCCTAGAAGAGTGGCGCTCTATCCAGCTGTATGTGTTGCGGAACCTTGAAGAGGTTGGCCCGTACATTGCGTAAGTTTTACACAAACTTGTTTCTTTTCTTGTCAATATTTTGCATGCACCCATCCAACCCTCTTGTTAATGGCCGTTATAGCAAATTTGTTCTCCTCTACCATCGTCCTTCACGGAGGGAACCCACCGAAGCGGAAGTTGAAACCCTTCTAAGACATGGCGCGGGAGAACGAAATCCCACTTTTATTTGTTGGTTCAAGGAGGAGGTACTGTTCAATTTCATTTGTTGTTTGTACTTAACTCTCAACTCGACAAATATATAATGAATCATCCTACTTGAACTAGCAGGCCAAAACTGACGTGTCTATGAGTGCCGAGTTGAGGCAAGTTGCCAATGGATTTGAATTTAGGGTCAAGTCATTCTCTGTGTACGATGTCAATGGATATCGCTTTCACACAACTCGACACGAGCAGAGTCGGCCGAATTGAAGAACCACAAATACCAGTGTTTTCACGCCAGGCACAGATGGGTTGGACTACTATGGAATAATTGAAGAAATATACAAACTCAAGTTTCCTGGTTGTGTACCTCTTCGTCCTGTCATATTCAAATGCCATTGGTTTGATCCCAAAGAAGTGATAAAGACCTCTGAGCTTGGGTTAGTCGAAGTTCTAAAGTCATCCGTCTTGCTAGGAGACGACGTGTACATTGTGGCCCAATAGGCCACGCAAGTTTATTATCTCTCATACCCGTGCCAAACCAAAGACCGTCTTAAGGCGTATGATGTTGTGTACAAGGTATCGCCAAGATGGTAAAGTACCGTCCCAAACGATGATGATTATAACATCGATGCAAACACATATGACGGAGAGTTCTTTCAAGAAGAAGGATTAGATGGGAGTTTTGAGATTATCTTAGATGTAGATCTCAAGAATGGAAGTAGACAATGATACGGTCATTGTTGGCGGGGATGATGGAGAGGAGGTTCACAACGCCAAGGACTTGTTATTACTTGAGCAACACCATTGAGCAAAGGTCGCTAGTGATGAGACTTTGAGAGACGATCATAATTACATCGACAATAGCGATGATGAGATTTTTTTGGCCCACCTATCAATGATCTTGATGATTATTTCTAGTACATGTAAGATCTGTAGTACTTATGGCAATTTTATACATGTATGATACATTTACTTATTTTGCATCTCTTTTATACATGTATGATACATTTACTTATTTTGCATCTCTTTTATACATGTATGATACATTTACTTACTTTGCATCTCTTTTATACATGTATGATACATTTACTTTTGTATATGCGTACTGATAGTTTATTCCTTTTGTTGCAGGTGATTGATGGTGGGCGGTGGAATCAGGAAGATTAGGTCGGTTATGACCTTACTGGCTGGTGGCGAGGGGTCTAGCCAGGGTGGAGGAGGAGGGCATGCACAGACTGAGGGTGGAGGGCGTGCCCAGGGAGGAGGAGGAGGAGGACGACGATGAGGGCGTGCCCAGGGAGGTGGAGCCCAGGGTGGAGGTGGAGCATAGGGTGGAGGAGGAGCCCAGGGTGGAGGAGGAGGACGGCGACGACGAGGGCGTCGAGAGCCGACACCTCCTCCACAGGACAACGACGATGAGTTCGTAGCGGCCACGGAGGAGGATGAGGAGGAGGAGGAGACCAGGGAGGAGATAGCGGAGGTGGTGGAGGAGGCACGGAGGGAGGATGAGGCCGAGCGGGCTGAGCGCGAGGAGGATGCCTACTTGCTGGCAGAGGAAAATGGGGTGCCTACGGTTTGGCTGCGAGGGTCGTCGCGCCTCCCAGACTTACCCATATAGAGACGGCTAGTGATTCGACCCTCTGGAACTAAGTAAGTAATTTTTGCATGTTAACACTACTTCACAGGTTTTTAAGTTATAACAGAAACTAATATTCAATCTCAATAACTTTGTGCAGGGCTTGGGAAATGGTGATCCTAGGGAGTCACTCTCGCCGAGTAAACGGGATCCTGGGTCTTCTGTGCAGGGCAAACTACCCCGGGATGGTGAGGATCGATGGTGTTGTGCAGCCCGCCATGAAGTGGTCCCACTGGCACGCCGCCAGCGATCAGACTAATTGAGCTGGCAGGTGTTATAACAGCAAGGCCGACCGGGTGATGAAAGAGTTGTGGGTACGTGTTCATCGCACTATGCTGATAATAACATCACATTAATTGTATATTACTGACTGTATTTGCTTGTAGGATTACTACACCTTAGCGGAGAGAGTATGTAGGGAGGACGCGGATGACGTGGTTAACAGAGTCTGTGTTCACCGAGTGCAGGACCTCTTCTACGAGACAAAGCTCCTGTGCAGAAGAATTTACCATGCCCGCAGAGGACACAAAGTCACCAGAGCGCAGGCAGTGCACCTGCCCCTGACTAAGGAGCAATACTTGATGGTAAACATGAGATTACATCGTCTGCGATTAATTGCACTGAAATTGATTTATGATTTGTCATGTGCTCGTGTACGTGCAGGTGCCTCTTGCTTGGTGTGAGGGGATGGACAACTGCTGGGAGGCCATTGTGGACAAGTGGTTGAGTGAGGAGTACGAGCAATATCACGCCGTACGCTCACGTTGCCGTGCGATGATGCAGGGTTCCTCGCACAAACAAGGCCCCACTACCCTTAAGGAATATGCAGCCAGATATGTACGCGGATTTCATTTCGTTGTTGCTATGCTAACTTCTGAATGCATAATATCTTATTGTTGTGCTTCTTCCTACAGACGCGGTTCCACCCTGGCCAGGAGTGCGCCTCGTTCAAGGCATATGCATTGGCACACAAGGGCAAGGCATAGGACCCCGACCTCGTCTACAACGCGGAGGACCCGCCCGAGGCATACAGCAACCCGAGCATGCACAGGCGCCTCAGCGAGTACACGGCGATGGCGAGAGAGATCCATGGGTCAGAATTTGATCCGAGCACCGCTGACCTCGAGGGTGACATCGTCATGAGGTTGGGACCAGGTAAGCCACACGGGCGGTACTATATGGGCAACAGCACCATAGACACGGCCAACACTCAGACACTCGCCCAGATTAGAGCCCAGAGCACGAGTTCGAGTCCGGCCATACGCCCACGCTCATAGCCCTAGGTGGTAGCACTCTAGGTTAGTTTTGTTGCATTCGTTGTCCATTCATTTTCTACTCGTTCTTTATTTGCATTCTAACTATGTGATAAATAATTGTAGGCCCAGATTGAAGCCCTGCAGGAGTCACAGCAAGCCTCACAGAGCCAGCTTCAGGCCCTCGAGCTGTCGCACCAGGCCGAGTTGGCACAGGAGAGGGCGCGAGTGCAGGCCCAGCTTGAGGCCTTCCAGCAGGCGCACAAGGACTGGTACGAGTACATGGCCCGTTTTTCTCAGAGCATGGGCCCGCCTCCGCCGCCGCCGATGATACCGTTGGTGCCTCCACCTCCGCGCGACGGCACTCCTGTGAGTCACTTAGATGCACTCTTCACTTTCGTGTCATATAGAGCTACCTTCGACTTATACCTTAGTTTGACCTACCATAGCTTAGACCTTAGAATTTGCTTTGATCCAGATAACTCACATGTGCAATCTCATTCTAGGGACCTTCTACAGCTGGATCGAACAACGATATGCAAGGTGATCAAGACCTAGACTTGACTCCGTTTCTCCGCAGGCCTCCGACCATGTGACAGGCCATCCGACCTTGTTTGATGGGTTTGTATGTTGAACTGTGGACTTGGTTGAACTTTGTGGACTTTGGACATATGTTGATGGTGTTTGTGGACTTTGCATGGTGCTTGTCGACATATGTTGGTTATTGTGAGTGGATGTGACATTTGTGGACATATATGTGATATATATTGCCTATTTGTCATGTTATTATAATTTCCTGTGATTTTATTGCTTATTGTGACTGGATATGCACTGAAACAAACAAAAAAAATTACGTGGACATATTTTGCCGAGTTAGCACTGGACATATTTTTCTTGCGAGTTTAGCACTCAAGAAAAAATGAAACAAACCAAATTGGTTCGATTCTGTGAATTTTGCCGAGTGTGCCATTTTTACCGAAAGTGCCGCGTCCCCACTCGGAAATATTTGACTACTTTTTACCGAGTGGGAAGACTCGGTAAACATTATTCCTGAAGTTTATTTGCGGAATTGTTTTAATCACGAAAATGGTTATTCTTTTACCGAGTGTTAGGAGCTACACTCGGTAAACATTATTCAAAAAATTTATTTGCGGAATTGTTTTAATCACGAAATGCTAATTTATTTACCGAATGCTGCTAGTGACACTCGGTAAACCTCGCCGTTAACGGTCAGTTTGGAGGCTGACGACCGTCAAGTCATAATTGTTTACCGAGTGTCATTGTAGCACTCGGTAACTCTATGCTCCGAGTGCGCCGATATTAGACACTTGGTAAAATAACTTCACCGAGTCGTTGTTTGCCGAGTCCACTTTACCGAGTATGGCACTCGGTAAAGAGTTTGCCGAGTGTGTAGCACTATTTGCCGAGTGTTACTCACACTCGGTAAATAAACAGTATCCCGTAGTGATGGTCTTGTTGTTGACAACAAAATGGGTTTGGTCGAAACCATTTAGAAGACATGGTGCGAAGTCTATTCTGTTGTTCATCACAGCCATAAACTGAATAAGCATCGAACACCCAACACAAGTCTTGCGTTGGCATCTGGGTCAGCTTTGTCTTCACAGTCTCGGCTGTTGAGCTCAAGTACGGTATGAACAGCTGCAGGCATCTGACTACAACCCCAACTATGTCAGTACTCTCAGAGAGCCGTAAGCTGAGGGAAAGAAGGAAATTATTCTGTGGCACATTACCATCTTCAAGTAAGAATACCAAGCTCCCACCCATCCCATTGTTGTGTAGACTAAAGGGCTGTAGAATAAGTGAGAGATGTTGGCCCCCACGAACAAAGCAATACTTTGTTCCTTTGCCAGCGAGAAGATGTCGTATAAGAGGCACAGAGAACATGTATCTGCATGGTGTGCCACCAAGCTCCACGTACCTCAAGAACTCTCCGTCTGCAAAACACTCGAATCGCCGTACGGCGGTGGATCCTGTCAGCTTGTTGTTGTTACCGCTGCTAAAGATTGACGAAAGAAATGACATAGCAGTATGAGCAACCCTCATAGGAAAGGAGGATCTCTGTATTGCTTGTTGCACTTCTTCCTCTTCTATGAATCGCTGCCTGCACTGGCGCAGAGTGTGGTCGCACTCCTGCGTGGCATGCTTGAGCTTGCTCCGCCAGCGTAGCAGTGGCGCACTGGTGACGTTCCACATGTTGGATATCTCAAGGGCAGCCTCTAGCTTGATGTGAGCCATCTCCATCCTCTTTATATGCTCATTTGCATCTGACTTCTCCACATAACCCTCCTTGATTCTTGTTAAGACTTCGTTAACAGTCTCCTGGACCACCGCAGAACCGATCATCTCTGCTGCCATTTAGACTGATCAAAGCAACCTGTAGAATCGGTTGTCCTGCATGCACAGAAAGAAAGCAAAATATTGCATACATATATGAGTCAGACGGTCCTTGTTCACCAGTCTAAAATCTATGATTGATCCTGAAAACTGCAAGTGCGGAGAGGAAATCAAAACCTGGCGTGGTTGAACACTTGAACTAGCTGTTGTAGGGTCTCAGAAAGTCGACACCACAGCAACTCAGACACAAGAGTTGGGGAATCTATCATGCCCAGCCGGCCAGTTGTGACCATACATATTGAGAGGTATCGTGGAAATTTATCAAGAGTGATACACACGCAGGAGGACTTTGTACCAGTGAGGTTGATGTACGGATGTACGGATCACATCGCAAAGACCGCCAGATCAGCAAGTGAAAGATTATATTACTTTAAGTACACCACAAATACTGTCTGGTCAAAATGTACAGATCAAATTGCAGAGACAGCCAGAGTGGAGTGATATATATACACATTGGAAGTTAGCTAGGAACTCGTCGTGTGTGAACGGCATGTCTCATCGTGTACTACAATTCCATACACAGGACCGAGCAGTCTAGTCAACGGTGGACTAATAAACATAGAATATATAGAAGATCTAGAGGGACACCAAAAGCAATGGACCCCAAATTTTCATCCCAATTTCAAATGTGAAAAAATAGAAAACATGACTGGCCAGGATGACAATAAATAAATACACGTGGGTTGAATGTAGAAAATGGACCGAGACAGAACATGGTTTACTCCGAGTGTTTTCACCCCTAATAATAATATCCCACCGAAAGTTAGTCTACTTTATTTTTTGAGGCAAACCGGAGCGGGGAATACTAAATGTTTATTAAAAGAAGGCAAGCAATAAGTTTACAAGCGGTTCAGGAAACAAAGAAAGAATAAAGTTAGTATATTTCTTATGGTCATGTGGATACAAAATTATAAAAGGGTCACACTCAATCTCAAAGGAGTCAACCTTGACTCCCAGTATAATGCCCCTAGATCAACCTTTTGGTTGGATCCATTCCCAGTCGACTACCTCAACGACCAACAAGAACAAAAGATAGCCATAGTAGCAACAAGAACAAAATACAGCCACGGCCCGCCATATGTGGGAAGACCACCAATTCTTGCTTCCTAGCACCATAAGCACAAAAAACTATCAATGAAAATAGATTGAAACCAACAAAGTTAACCCAGTTTAGATACCATACTGAAGAATAAATAGGGTCAAGAGGATTTTAGAGATTTAGGGTTTGCGAGAGAAGAGCCATCAATAGCCAGTTGGGTAATTCTGCAACGATCCTTTTAGTGTTCTTTTATTTAATATCAATTTACAGTTATCTCCTTTTAGTTCTTACAAATTATGTAATTACATAACACGGCTTACACTTACATACACACCAAAGGAACATGCGAGATTGTCTAACAGGCAACATATAAATCGATCTGAACTAATTTTCTGTCATGACAAGCTTCCTCTAGTAGAACTTAATGCCCTACTGACACATACTTAGTAACATAAAATCCTTTAGGCATTGGACATACTGCACGATTTGATTTTCCTTGCTAAAGATCTATGATATTGCGAAGAAATCAACATGATTGGACAATCATCGACACAGGGATTATTTTTAAATAATAATGGTAGCGGCAATCGCTTTTCTTTTTGAACCCAGTCCATGACTGTGCCGTGCAAGTGAGCAGGCGCGTGGGCAACCCACGAGCACAAGAAATCTTTGTTCGCACTTGCCCATCCCTGTACCTTCTTGCCCTGTCGTTGTTTAGGATGTTTTCCACCCATGCCTCTCCTAGTGGTTAGCCTCCATGAGATTTTCTCGACTTGAAGGTATGCGGCGCCATGCTTGGACTTCCAAAGCATCTGATACGAGGTAGCTGCCGCACTCTCGTGAAGGCAATCTACTGCCTTTGGTATCATAAAGTCGCCCAACTGTTCAAAGCAAATTTTTGCATACAAGCCATGTTTCACGGCTGCCCCATTGATTATTTCAGTTGCCGAACCCTCGACTCCAGGTGACAAATCTTCATAAGGGGCATGGGGATAGAAATGCACTCCAAGTTTCAGATAAGGAAATTCACTCAATAAGGGGCTTGTTTTGCTTTCACCATCGGCGACTGGTCTCTGCATGTTGTTCCCAACAGACAGTGCGACATGGCCTAGCAAATACACTTGGATAACTGGTTCCAAGTATATATCACATGGCAATGATTCTGACGATGAGCTCTTGGAATTGTAGCTCTGGGAGTAGTGATGATCTTGCTGCTGGCAACAAATAGGGTTCGGTCGAATCCATTTGGACCAGATGGTGTGAAGATAGTTCTGGTGTTCAACACAATGGCTAAAAACCGGATAACCATTGGACACCCAGCATAAGTCTTGTGTTGGTACCTGAGTGAGCTTTGTCTTCACAATCTCGACTGTTGAGCCTAAGTAAGGTATGGACAGGTGCAGGCATCCGACTGCAATCCTAACTATGTCTGTACTTTCCGAAAGCCGTAAGTTGAGGGCAAAAGCAAAATCATTCTCTGGTGCACTGGTGTCTTCAAGTAACAATATTAGGCCAACCTCCATCCCATGCTCTTGTAGTGAACTAAAGGGTTGTAGAAGAAATGAGAGATGTTGACCATTGCTAACAAAGCAATACTTAGTTCCTTTGCCAGTGATAAGATGGCGTATAAGAGGGTCGGAAAACATGTATCTGTGTGGTGTTCCACCAAGCTCCACGTATCTCAAGAATTCGCTCGCACCTTCTGCGAACCGTTCAAATCGCTGGGCGACAGTGGATCCCTTCAGCCCATCATCGTTACCATGACTAAAGAATAATGAAACAAACGACATGGCATTATGAGTGATCCTCTTCGGAAAGGAGGAATTCCTTACCGCTTGCTGTACTTCTTCCTCTTCTTGCAAGCGCTGCCTACACATGCGCAGAGTGTTGTCGCACTCCTGTGAGGCGCGCTTGAGCTTGCTCCGCCAACGTAGCAGTGGCACGCTGGTAACGTTCCACTTGTTGGAGGTCTCAAGGGCAGCCTCCAGCTTGATGTGTGCCATCTCCATCCTCTCTATGTTCTCCTTTGCATCTGACGTGTCCTGATAACACTCCTTGATTCTTGATAAGATTTGGTTAACAGCCTCCTGGGCCACTGCAGAACTGACCATCTGTGCAGCCATTAGGATTGATCAAAGCAACGTGTAGAACTCAACTATCCTGCATGCTCAACCGGGAAGAAAGCAAAATACTATCAGTCGATACATATAGGAGTCAGAATGTCCCTGTTCATCAGTTTTGCAAGAGTAGAGGAAATCAGAACCTGGTGAGGTTGAACTAGCTGTATCCTGTAGGGTTGCTAACTTCTGAATGTGACGATATTTAGTCCTGTTTATTTGAGGAAAAAAGGTTGCAGGGTTGTGGCCAGCACCAACATGAGTTTGTGAATCTATCCAGCCCGGCCAGCTAGTTGTATGAGGATAGACACGGAGAGGTACATTATTTGAGAGCGACATCGTGGAAATTTGTCATGAGTGATATGCACACAGGAAGACTTTGGAGCAGAGGGCAACAAGCACTGAGGTCGACACCTCTTGGAACGCGCCAGGCATGGTCCAGAATTATTCATCGCGTAGGACCAAACCAGAGTCAAAGTCGATGGTGACTAAATGTAGAAATCTTGGCTGGAAAGCTTGGAGCAAAAAAAAAAAAAAAAAAAGAACCCGAAGCTGACGGCAAGCCCGCAGCTGCGAACCTCTGTCATGGGTGTTACCACTACAATCAGGGCCGTGAAAAAAAAATCAAGATAATAATAGAAACAAAGAAAGTTAGAAATATAACAAAAAGAGTAATCCTGAATAATATATATGCCATTGAAGATTAATTCGGAGTGAGAGCAAACAAGCAAAAGACTAATTACATCAATTAATTAGGTTATTTGAGGATGTACGCTAGGGACTAACTAGAACGATGGATAGGCAATACTAAAAAGAACAAAAGAACTGGGGGAAATGTTAGGACACTGACCCGATATTAAATTATATACATTGCTATTAGAGATTAACTAATCCATCAATTCAGACTCTCGCACGGGTTAGAATCTTAGAAGACAGTTCTATTTTTTTTGAGCCAAAACTGTGGGGAGAAAAAACCAATGATTTTACTGAAACCAAAAACCGAACAAGAGGCTAGTGGGAAGGTAACCAAAAAGGAAAACAACAACACAAAGACTCAAAGAAAAGGAGAAGAAAGATAAGAGAAGGAAAATATTAAAAAAATTTAATACCGCTAAATATTAAAAATTATTTATACTAAAATGTGTTTTTCCTCCTTACTCATTTTCTAATACAATAAACATAAAAAATATTTCATAGTATATTGTTTTCACAACAGACTAGCTTTAATAATGGTGTAGCTATGTAATTTGTATGCAAATTTACATAGGTTATTTTCATAATAACATAGATAGTTCAAATGAATATTTTGGGTTACTTTAGATCATTTTTATAATAGCAGATGTGGGGATTTTAGTTAAATATTTAGGGTTTACTTTATGCTACTTTCACGAGGTAAGTAATATTGGGATTGAGGGTTACTTTAGGCAAATCTTTTATAATAATGACAAGGGTTGGTAATTTGTATACAGATTTTTGGGTGTTTGTTGGTATATATTAATGCACACAGAATAATCTACAAGCACACGGATATTATACCAATGTAGTACTTCACAGGGAGTACCCAGTTTTATATCGAACTCGAGGAAACGTGTGTGAGAATAACCAAATCTAGCTTAACCCAACTTCACAATCAAGGTTAGATAATAGGAGCGTAGAGGAGATCACAAAGGTCTTATAGTTCTAACTTCGATAAGCGTTGTCTTCTATTGTTCAGTTCTGGTGATATTACTAGAGAAAACACAGGTAGAGTATGTTTCCTATAGCAACAATATCCTGCTAGGCCTACTAATGGGAGGTGGACTACA